CCACAGGTCTGCTAGGTGGCTTTGTTCCACCAGTCTCATTCTGGCGTTCGGGCTTGACTGTCCTATTCACCACTTGTCTGCTGTTTCTAGATCAGTTACTGGCATGTAGTATGGACTCAATGGATTGTTGAATTAATTAGTAAACGGACAAACAATTTGTGGTTTGCTGTCTGTGCTATCACAGTGGTTTATAGACACATCCCCAGTTCATCCCTTCCCAGGCTGGAAGGCCCTAAAAAGAAGATGGTATGTCTTTATCATTTGGAATCACTTAGTTCATACAAGTTACCTGGCACCATATCAAAGATGGCATTTAACAAAAAGAGGTGTCAGATACTGGCCATTACCCTGCCATTTGATTCTCTTAATTAACTAAATGAAAGTGTCGATACCTTCATTCATGCTAGAGCCCCATGCTCTCTCTTACTGAGTAGGACTTGCTTGGGAATATGTTTCTTTTCTTTAGGACTACAGTAATTGAAATCTGAGGAAGTAGATGATGCAGGCTCTTGTAAACAGAGGCTGGTAATTGACTGGGATAATGCAACAGTGGGTAGCCACCTTTGGTTTTCCACCCAATCATTTCAAGTCTCTACCTTGAGTCTCAATGAAGTCTATTGATTTATTGAAGAAATATATTTTTTGAATGCCTATTATATGTCACATGTTAGCAAGACCCTTGAGCACACAGTGTTAGATAATTCAGACATGAGACCCTGTTCTTATGGAGATTACAGTCTAGTGGGAAAAGCAGGCACAGAGGAAGAGGACAGGGTGTTAGAGAGGAACAGGTCCTCAGGGGCTCCCATGTTTAGTCTCCCCCGGAAGGATGAAACGGAGTTACCTAGGTTGAGGGTTTACATGGAAAGAATGGGAAGAAAAACAGTGTTGCTGACAATGGAACTTTAAAACAAGAACTATAGTTAGAACACAGAGTGTGAGAAAAGTGATGACCTGAAGATTAAATAATTGCATTCCTGATAACCGTCCCTGTGGCGGGTATGACTCTTTTACCAGGGTAAAATGGGAGAGTCGTTTCCATTTCCATCCAACTGTTCAGGAACGTGGAAAAGAAAATAGTAACATGAGGACGGTGTTGAAGCCTTTGAAGAAAGGCACTGTGAACATTCATGCTGTTACAAAGCTCATTATTCATTTTAGAACTCAAGCAAAAAACATTGTTGCAAGCCCTTGGGGAAAACTAGTTTACCTCAAATATCTCCCCCTCCCCCCACTTCAAAAAAAAGCCCTCAAGGTCAATATCTAGCTTCACCACAATGTATTTGGTTAGCAGTCAAGCTTGCTGAGCTACAGGTAATTAGGAAGAGAATGTCTCTCCCTTCTAATCGTGCCGTCCTCTTTGCCTTGGGAAGCCTTTGGAAATTCTTTAACTTGGTCCCCTGTCTAATTAGCAGCAATGGCTGCACTTTAGCTCCTTCCTCTTGCAGAGTGTGCTCTGGGTTCTCTGCAGATGTCCACAATTCAGTAATCAAGGGCTGGCTTCCTGGGTCACTTGTAGGAGCAGACCCAATAAGTTCAGTTCTGAAGGCCTGAGACACAGATAAAATAAAGCTAATTGGGTAAATGAATTTCAATCGCAAGCTCAATGTAGAATTCACAGTCGGATTTTTCAACTTCTGCATATTGTGGTGTTATATCCCATCAACATCGTGATGCCAGTAACTGTGGGAAAAGCTAAGTTAAATTCAACATGCTGGTAAAATCAATGGCTGACCCACAAGCATTTCTACCCAGTAACTGAAAGAATCAGAGTATAGTATTTAAATAAGTTTGATTAACAGAGTTGGGTGTTTTCCTCCATTTTTGTACTTAAAATTTCAACGTTTTAGCTTTATTATAGTAAAAAATAACAACTGAGAGGGCTGAGGTATGTGCTACCTGATAAGTATCGGAGGCTAAAAACGATTCGAAAGTAGTGAACCGTGAGATACATCTATGTATGAGAGCATTGGCTTTCAAAAATGTAGGTTCTCCTGGTGCTTTTCTGTAAGTTTCCGTCCTGTGAGTACACTCTATTCAGTATAAATGATAGGTTCAAGTGATAAAAGGGTATGGGCATAGTGGCATCATACTCTTCTCCAAGGTTCTCTACAAACTGTACAGTGTCTCTCAACCTCTCCTTGGGTTCTCTTTTTCAGAATATGTTGATTCTTTCCACCATCCAATTATGATAATTTTACCCTTTTAGTATCTCCGGAGAATTTTCTTCACATGGATTCCAGTTTAATAAAAACTGATTCTTTTTTGATATATGATACATTGGATAGAACTTGAAGGCAAACTTCTTTACAAAAATGTTAGACTCTTGAAGGATTGAGCTATAAAACTGAATGGAAGCTGATGAGCTCTTTAAATTCGGTTTAATAAAAATTTTTTCTTGATCAAATTACAGAACTCTAAAACTTAGAGTGGGACTTGCTTACAGTCTTGGATATTACCCACAGTGCAAAAGCTTGAGTGATAAAAGAGGATGTCAGCAAGCTAAGCTCTAGGACAGGACCATACCTGTGGTCTGAAGTAGACTTTTCAGGGCTGTGAGACACATTCAGTATGTTCAAGATTGAGTGTGGTGTGAGAGGTGAGCCTGCATTAATTTCAAGTATTCGAACAGTAAGCTCAGCTGCCAGCCCACCCCATTCCTATTCCTCTGAGCATCATGGGAAAAATCTCTGCATCTGAGTTAGACTAATCGAACCACTCTAAAACTAGACGGAGGATGCATATCTGAATAGGGAAAAGACCCAGTGAGATTGTACAGTGTGCATACTTACACAGTGATGAGCTAAAAAGCTGGAAGAAGAAGTTAGGTTTTCTGGGTTCTCATTCAGAAGCTCTGCCGGGGTATGGTGGCTCACGCCTGTAATCCCAACACTTTGTGAGGCCAAGGCAGGAGGATTGCTTGAGCCCAGGAGTTTGAGACCAGCCTGGGCAACATGGTGAAACCCTGTCTCTACAAAACATACAACAACGACAACAATTAGCTAGTTGTGGTAGCATGTGCCTGTAGTCTCAGCTACTCAAGAGGCTGAGGTAGGAGGATCACTGGAACCCCAGAGGATGAGGCTGCACTGAGCCGAGATCACACCACTGCATTCCAGCCTGGCTGATGGAGCCAGACCCTGTCTCTTAAAAAAGAATGCTTTACTCACAGCACTTCTAAGTCGATTCATAAAAGTTTTTATTAAATAGAACTTAAACTGCTAAAATGGTTTTAAAATATGTCTATAAATTCTTTGATGCTCCTCTCTCAAAAATACAGAGCCTAATTCTCCCTTTGCATACGAGTTGGACTTAGCGACTCATTTCTAATGAATAGGATATAACAGAGTGACAATAGGTGACCAGGTTATTAAAGGCAGCTTGGCTTCTGCTTTACCATCCTTCTGGACAATTTGTTCAGTGGGAAGCCAGCTGCCACATCATGAGAACACTCAAGCAGCCCTATGGAGAGGCCAACATGGTGAGAAACTGAAGTCTCTACCCAACATCCAATATGCAACTGAGGCCTCTTGCCAACAGTATGTGAGTGAACATGGAAGCTGATGCTCCAGTCCCAGATGGGCCTTCAGAAGATGGCAGCTGCCACCTCATGGGAGATCCCAAAGCAGGACCACCTAGCTTGGCCTCTCCAAAATCCCTGACCTATACAAATACTGTGAGTTAATAAATATTTATTGTTGCAGCCTGCCAATATTGGAGGTAATTTTTTGCACAAGAATAACTAATACAACAGCTTATCACATTGTAACCTCTGTTACAGCTCAGTTCTTCAAGAAATACCTAATGATTTTGTAAAAAAGTTTTTCTTCAAGATTCCAGTATACAATATCAAAAAGTCTTGCCTTTGAATATTGGGTTCAGGGATAAATTCTCAGACACAAATTAGGTATCTCTCATGATTTCCTAGAAACGTTTTTCTTTAGGCTTTGGCTAATACACAATATCAAAAAAGTCTTGCCCTGGAGTCTTGGCTCGGAGATGAATTCTCAGATACAAATTAGGACTTCATCTGAGACAGAGGTATGTTTTTACTAGTTGTTTGAACAAGCTGCCAGCCCACTTTTGGATATAAGTATTGGCTCTAAGAAAGAATGGCTATCCCTAAGTGTCCAGTTCTACCACTTAATCACTTCATCAGGAAATGAGACTCTAACTTCATTGTCTATGGTTCATCCAAAAATAAATGCCACAGAATACAATTATCTAGCCTCTGCCTTCCTGAAGTGAGTTTAGAAATAACCAATAAAACTTTACCAAGCAGATTCTTCATCTGGATACAGGATTCCAGAAATGACCTGAAGTCCATCCATACAAACCTGGCTATCATGTATCAGCTTCTGACTCTATTATCCTAATACTCACGGAGTATTAGGATAATATCTATTAGGGTAATAGAGTGAGAGGCTGATACATGACTTCCCCAAGCGTTAATTGAAGCACACCAGCTTGAGTAACCATCTCACCTCTTTTCAAGGAAGAAAGCAGATTTGCATCCCCTCATTGAGGTAATAAAGATGTAAAGTTCTTCTGTTCTCTAAGTCACATGTGAATGAATCAGTACTCTATGGCAGACTCAGCAGCTTATTAACTGCCCTCTGAAGACCTAAATGTATGGAAATAATCTCTACAGTACAAAATCCTGAGTGAAGAGTAAACATCTGCTTGTAATGGTTGATCTTAATACTTTAAATAAACAGATCCTGACCCAATTTAAAAAAGCCACCTTTTTCTCCTTCAGTGTCAACTCCTAATCTTAAGAGTAAATGAGGCTGGTGCAGTGAGTTTATGACTAATTGACCACAGTCCATTACAGATTTCTTAGTTCCTTCTCTACTTCTACTGCATACTTGACTAACCTAAACCAGAAAAAGAACATGTGATAAGCTGAACAAAACACTGTTCTCCCAGCTTCCTCAACTAGAAATAAATCCTGGGGTTGTCCTTTCCAATGAGAAGGAAACGATGCCTCTCTTCCTTAGGTGAGAGTGTGGAAGAAAATGCCAGTGTTGTGGTCAAGCTGCTGATCAGACGCCCAGAGTGCTTCGGCCCGGCCCTGCGGGGTGACGGGGGAAACGGGCTGTTGGCGGCCATGCAGGGTGCCATTAAGATCTCTGAGAACCCAGCGCTTGACCTCCCGTCTCAAGGATACAAGAGAGAAGTGTAAGTGAATGGAGTTGCCTTCCAGCGCGGAAACGGTTGGTGAGCTCTCAGATATTGTCGGTATATGGATGATTTAGGATGTAATAGAGAAAGCACACATGCCTAACAGTTACAACTAAAATATTTACACTTCATCAAGCACAGCATTGTCTTGACTCTTCCATTAAGCGTAGTGATCAGTATCACCTTCACCCCCTTCCATGTTCTCTACTCTGCCGAGCGCAGGTGGAGATCACAAAGTGGGCAAACTCTTGGCCTCCTTATAGCATCCCCATGGGGTCCGAAGCTAAAAAGCCTGGACCAAGATTCTACTCCTTGTCTAATTTCAGCATGTTTCCTTCAGTATTTTGTCCCATGGTGTCTCATCCCATATCTCATTTTTAAAAAGATACTGCCTCCACTTCCTCTTCTAAAAGCATGAGGACTAATGAAAGTTTTTTGATTTGACTTCAAGAAAAAAAAAAAAAAGTTGCAGAATGTGAAAAGTCACAGCACTATAATGTTATTTAAATGTTAAGGAAATAGTTGGTAGATTATCTGATTGTCTTGTTACTTTCCCTTTATCATGTCTCATATCATGTCCCTTTCTTTATCACAGCCTTTAGATTAGACCCTAGAATCTAGAGAGTGGGTATAACCCAGCAGCAGAAACGCTTTGGACAATTGGCATTTTTCTTTGTCGTCAGACCTGGTAGAGCTGGAAAGGACCCTAAACATAGGCTTTCCCAACTTCCTCAAGCAACATGAAAAAAAAAACTGAGGCCTGAGGTCATACGACTTATTAGCAACAGAGCCAGGACAGGGACTGAGCCCTCCTGACTCCTGGTCCAATGTGCTTTCCATGGACCTTCCCTTCATAGGGAGGAAGAGGGAATGAATGGTTGGTAGGAGTTACGGTCTGAATGATCAGCTCATGTCAGTACTCATGCCTTAAGATTCATGGGATCCCATGAATGTCATGGACAAATATTTGGGCTCCTTTTCAACTTCTGGAGGAAGATAAGGTTTCAGGGGAAAAGGATGTATGATAACCAAGATGAGCAGAGTGCTTCCATATCAAGCAGTTATGTCTCCAGCATGGCAGTGCTGCCAGCCTTCCTCACACCCACCCTCTGTTGGTTCTTTCAGCAGCACGGAGGACGATGAAGAGGAAGAAGAAATTGTGCACATGGGCAATGCAATTATGTCATTTTATTCAGCACTTATAGATCTACTGGGCCGCTGTGCTCCTGAAATGCATGTAAGTGATAGAGCTTTCTGAGAACAGGTTTTTTTTTGTTGTTGTTGTTTTTAGTGCTTTAAGTTCCAGGGTACATGTGCAGAACGTGCAGGTTTGTTACATAAGTATACACGTGCCATGGTGGTTTGCTGCATCCATCACCCCCTCATCTACATTAGGTATTTCTCCTAATGTTATCCCTCCCCTAGTCCCCAACCCCCTGCTACCCCTCCCTATCCCCCAGCCCCTGCTATCCCTCGCCTAGCCCCCCACCTCCTGACAGGCCCTGGTATATGATGTTCCCCTCCTCGTGTCCATGTGTTCTCATTGTTCAACACCCACTTATGAGTGAGAACATGCGGTGTTTGGTTTTCTGTTTGGTGTTTGGTTTGTGTTTTGTTGGTCAGTTTGCTGAGAATGATGGTTTCCAGCTTTTTCCATGTCCCTACAAAGGATATTAACTCATCCCTTTTTATGGCTGCATAGTATTCCATGGTGTATATGTGCCACATTTTCTTTATCCAGTCTGTCATTGATGGGCATTTGGGTTGGTTCCAAGTCTCTGCTGTTAAAAACAGGGCCGCAATAAACATACATGTGCATGTGGCTTTATAATAGAATGATTTATAATCCTTTGGGTATATACCCAGTAATGGGATTGCTGGGTCAAATGCTATTTCTACATCCTTGAGGAATCATTACACTGTCTTCCACAATGGTTGAACTAATTTACACTCCCACCAACAGTGTAAAAATGTTCCTATTTCTCAACATACTGTCCAGCATCAGTTGTCTCCTGATTTTTGAATGATCACCATTCTAACTGGCATAAGATGGTATCTTAATGTGGTTTTGATTTGCATTTCTCTAATGATCAGTGATTATGAGCTTTTTTTCATATGTTTGTCGACTACGTAAATGTCTCCTTTTCAGGAGTGTCTGTTCATATCCTTTGCCCACTTTTTAATGGGTTTATTTGCTTTTTTCTTGTAAATTTGTTTAACTTTTTTATAGATTCTGGATATTAGCCCTTTGTCGGATGGGTAGATTGCAAAATTTTTTTTCCCATTCTGTTGGTTGCCAGTTTACTCTAATGATAGTTTCTTTTGCTGTGCAGAAGCTCTTTAGTTTAATTACATCCCATTTGTCTATTTTGGCTTCTGTTGCCATTGCTTTTGGTGTTTTAATCATGAAGTCCTTGCTCATGCCTATGTCCTGGATGGTATTGCCTAGGTTTTCTTCTAGCGTTTTTATGGTGTTAGATCTTATGTTTAACTCTTTAATCCATCTGGAGTTAATTTTTGTATAAGAAGTAAGGAAAGGATCCAGTTTCAGTTTTCTGCATATGGCTAGACAGTTTTCCCAACACCATTTATTAAATAGGGAATCCTTTTTTTTGTTTTTGTCAGCTTTGTCAAAGATCAGATGGCAGTAGATGTGTGGTGTTATTTCTGAGGCCTCTTTTCTATTCCGTCGATCTATATCTCTGTTATGGTACCAGTACCATGCTGTTTTGATTACTGTAGCCTTGTATAATGTAGTTTGAAGTCAGGTAGCATGGTTCCTCCAACTCTTTTTTTTTTTTTTTTTTGCCTAGGTTGGTCTTGGCTATGTGGGCTCTTTTTGGTTCCATATCAAGTTTAAGGTGTTTTTTTTCCAATTCCGTGAAGAAAGGCAATGGTGGCTTGATGGGAATATCACTGAATCTATAAATTACTTTGGGCAGTATGGCCATTTTCACGATATTGATTCTTCCTATCCATAAACATGGAACATTTTTTCATCTGTTTGTGTCCTCTCTTATTTTCTTGAGCAGTGGTTTGTAGTTCTCCTTGAGGAGGTCCTTCACATCCCTTGTTAGTTGTATTCCTAGGCATTTTATTTTCTTTGTAGCAATTGTGAATGGGAGTTCGCTCATGATTTGGCTCTCTGTTTGTCTGTTATTGGTGTATAGGAATGCTTGTGATTTTTGCACATTGATTTTTTATCCTGAGACTTTGCTGAAGTTGCTTATCAGCCTAAGATTTGGGCTGAGAAAATGAGGTCTTCTAAATATACAATCATGTTGTCTGCAAATAGAGACAATTTGACTTCTTCTTTTCCTAATTGAATACCCTTTATGTCTTTTTCTTGCCTGATTACCCTGACCAGAAATTCCAATACTATGTTAAGTAGGAGTGGAGAGGGCATCCTTGTCTTGTGCCTGTTTTCAAAGGGAATGCTTCTAGTTTTTGTCCATTTAGTATGATATTGGCTGTGGGTTTGTCATAAATAGCTCTTATTATTTTGAGATATGTTCCCTCAATACCTAGTTTATTGAGAGTTTTTAGCATAAAGGACTATTGAATTTTGTTGAAGGCCTTCTTTGCATCTATTGAAACAATCATGTGGTTTTTGTCTTTGGTTGTGTTTTTGTGATGGATTATGTTTATAGACTTGCATATGTTGAACAAGCCTTGTTTCCCAGGGATGAAGCCAAGCTGTTCATGATGGATAAGTTTTTTGATGGGCTGTTGGATTCGGTTTGCCAGTATTTTATTGAGGTTTTTTGCATCAATGTTAATCAGTGATATTGGCCTGAAATTTTCTTTTTTAGTTGTGTCTCTGCCAGGTTTTGGTATCAGGATGATGTTGGTCTCATAAAATGAGTTAGGGGGGATTCCCTCTTGTTGTACTATTTGAAATAGATCCAGAAGGAATGGTACTGGTACCAGCTCCTCTTTGTACCTCTGGTAGAATTCAGCTGTAAACCCGTCTGGTCCTGGACTTTTTTTGGTTGGTAGGCTATTCATTGCTCCCTCAATTTCAGACCTTGTTATTGGTCTGTTCAGGGATTCAATTTCTTCCTGGTTTGTAAGTGTCCAGGAATTTATCCATTTCTTCTAGATTTACTGGTTTATGTGCATAGAGGTGTTTGTAGTAATCTCTGAGGGTAGTTTGTATTTCTTTGGGATTGGTGATGATATCCCCTTTATTGTTTTTTGTTGCATCTATTTGATTATTCTCTCTTTTCTTCTTTATTAGTCTGGCTAGTGGTCTACATTGTTGATCTTTTCAAAAAACCAGCTCCTGGATTCATTGATTTTTGAAGGGTTTTTTGTGTCTCTATCTCCTTCAGTTCTGCTCTGATCTTAGTTATTTCTTGTCTTCTGCTAGCTTTTGAATTTGTTTGATCTTGCTCCTCTAGTTCTTTTAATCGTGACATTAGAGTGTCAAGTTTAGATCTTTCTTCCTTTCTCTTGTGGGCATTTAGTGCTATAAATTTCCCTCCAAACACTGCTTTAGCTGTGTCACAGAGATTTTGGTACATTGTTTCTCCATTCTCATTGGTTTTAAAGAACATCTTTATTTCTGCCTTCATTTCATTATTTATCCAGTAGTCATTCAGGAGAAAGATGTTCAGTTTACATGTAGTTGTGCGGTTTTGAGTGAGTTTCTTAATTCTGAGTTCTAATTTGATTGCACTGTGGTCTGAGAGATGATTTGTTAGGATTTCCGTTCGTTTGCATTTGCTGAGGAGTGTTTTACTTGCAATTATGTGGTCAGTTTTAGAATAGTGCATTGTGGTGCTGAGAAGAATGCATGTTCTGTGGATTTGGGATAGAGAGTTCTGTAGATGTCTATTAGGTCCACTTGGTCCAGATCTGAGTTCAAGTTCTGGATATCCTTGTTAATGTTCTGTCTCTTTGATCTGTCTAGTATTGATAGTGGGATGTTAAAGTCTCGCACTATTATTGTGTGGGAGTCTAAATCTCTTTGTAGGTCATTAAGAACTTGTTTTATGTATCTGGGTGCTCCTGTATTGGGTGCATATATGTTTAGGAGAGTTAACTCTTCTTGTTGCATTGATCCCTTTACCATTACGTAATGTCCTTCTTTGTCTCTTTTGATCTTTGTTGGTTTAAAGTCTGTTTTGTCAGAGACTAGAATTGCAATCCCTGCTTTCTCTCTCTCTCTCTCTCTCTCTCTCTCTCTCTCTCTCTCTCTCTCTCTCTCTC